TAATACCAAGCAACCTCAATAATTCACAGTACAAAGCATCCTAATTTTGAATTTGTTAACATCCCTTCGCGTCAGAGAAGACATAAACCCATCATCAATCTTCAGCAAAGTAGCGCTACTCACGATACGCTCGGTGGCGCCGACGGGGCCCTCGAGGATGCGGACCCTGGCCTTGGTCTCCTCGACGAGGCGCTTGATGAGCTCGCCCTTCCGCCCGATTATGCTTCCGACCTTGAGCACTGGCACCACCAGCCGGAGCACGCTGTCCCCTGGCCACCCAGGCCACCTCTTCGCGGCCGCCGCGGCCTCCATCGCGGCGGCGTCGGCCTCCTCGGCGACCGGCTGTGGCAACGAAGCCAGCGCCCCAACCTCAGCTGCGGTGGCGGCGGCGGCGGCGGATGGTTCGGCCATGACGGTGGCGGTGACGGTGGAGGGGCTAGGGTTTGGGTCGCGGGGCGTGGGGCAGGGGCCGCGGAAGCAGTTAGCAAAGGCGTCGCGAGTCGCGAGCCTCGGCGAGTGGAGGGGACTGGGAGGAGGGGAGCACGAGATCTGCCACCTGCCCGGGTGGGTTCGCGATTTGGTTTCTCACGGGCTCACCTCGTGCTCGTGCCCACGCTTAGATGGGCCGGAAGTTTAGTGGCAGAGAAAAAAAAAAGTGTTCCTGCTGCCTCAACTATCTGCTGTGGACCGACATTGGATCAAAAGAATACGAAATAGAGGAACAGAACAAACCGTAAAAAAAAAAAACGCGCAGTAGCAAAACAGAGGAACGAAAAAGTATAGAAATAAGATAGGTGTTTGAAATGCATGAAAACTATACTGTAGGGTTATAAAAGCAATTGGCTTAATAAAAGGCATTTTTTTGTATTAAATTATGTACACACCTGTCTTTCTACACACAACATCTGAAAGCTATTGACGAGTTAACGCACAACTGCTTCCACACACACACGAAGAGAAAACTAGAGGTTGGGATAGATGTTTGTTTCCCGTGAAACTGTGAAGACGATATAGTATTATGGAGGAAAGGAATTGGAGTTTTCTTTGTTCCAAACATTCCTCTCATCTTTCCTTTGTTTTTGTTTCCTCCGTTTTTCCCAACAAAATTCCTTTGATCCAAATGCGACCTAAATTTTTTATTGCGGTCCGATTAAGCTCCTTTCAAACTAAAAAAGGATGTTTTAGCTACTTTAACTACTGTAACCGGTTTTTTCTTCTTGGGTGATTTTCAATGCAGTTTAATTTGACTTGGCGTCATGCTAGGCGTCCTCTACATGGTGCCACATCAACCACGAGGGAGGCAAATCGGACTTCGTTGATAGTTTAGGGTCAAATGGACTTTACTAAAACAGTTATATAATTAAATCTTCAGAAACTACCCATTTTTTTAAGAAAAAATGGAATATAAAATTCCAAAATCTGGACTAACCTTAAAAAATTCATAGGAAAATTATTTTAGCTCAGAAAATATGTAAATTTAGTTTTTTTTTCTAAAATCATGTTCTATATTATGGTGTATGGATTAGAATTATTTGGCTCTTATATGGTCTCATTTTGATGTTTATTTACTAAATATATTCTTGCTATCTGTTATACTTAATCTATGCTGATAAATCATACTATGTAGAAGTTTGAGCACCATTCTTTTTTTTTCATATTTGGAGATAATCTAGTCTCTATTCTCGATAGGTTATAAGAGTAAAAGCCTGTGGCTGGTGAATCATGTAACCTTATTCAACAAATGATTAAGGGCTTTGCTACAGTACTTTGAAGTAAATGTGGGTATTGATTTGGATAATAACTACCACATATTACCTATCAGGGGTAATAGAAAAACTATTTTAATTATTTAGTTTGGAAAAATAGGAAAATATTAGACAACATATCATGCAATGAGATCTTTTAACCAAAATATCCTGCAATAAGATATATTAGCCAGAATATCTTGCAATTGATGTGTTAATGTGACACCTTAACATGTTGCGTATACATGTGCATTTTTCCTGAAAGAAATACTAGCAATTTTATCACTCAATATCTATAGGCATTTCACATATTACAATTTCAATATATTCGCTAGAGCTTCACTACGAACTAGTACCTATTCATTTGATTCAATAGCTCTGCTGGGCTGTGATTGCTGCAGCAACATACAGACATACTTTTCATATCAGAAGAAAGGGTAGCAGCGGCAGCGCTACAGTGCTGCAAGCCAAGCACCCTGAATGACCATGTAGTTGACTCCCAATTCACCCGCCAACGCTATAGCAAGATTAGCATGTAATGATGTAATTCAACTGTACTTGCTCATGACGCATGAGGACATATACCCCATCCACCACCATATCCTACCGCGGTTCCTTTGCGCTGCACCGGGGGAAGAGAAGATGTCGTCAGATGGGAAGGAGAAACCGGATTTTTACGTTCTTTTTTTTTAGTTGGTAGGTACAATATTTCAGGTGCCTGAAATTTGCTTCTTTTCAGGCAACAGTTAACAGCCCTTATGGTTCACATCCGAACCCGATAAAAACTCAACACAGATACCATCATACCAGCCACCGACGGACACAACATCGCCTGAACTCAACACAAAAACCAGGCGACTGATGAATATGAATTGTGTTATTTGTTTGCTGGTTATTTTTTTCTTTTTTCTTTGTTTTCAAATTATTTTCATTATTCAACTATTTCATCTATTCCAAAAGAAATTAAGGGTTATGATTCATTCAATCTCTTACCACGTAAGTGACAATTAGAGTAGTGTAGCAAAGCCCGGCGATTAAAGACACACACATGTAGATAGGCTCCAAAGTACATGGAAAAATACATCTCCATATCACAAGGAAACAGCCAGCATTTGAGAACCTTTTATAAAAGAAAGAAAGAAAGAAAGAAAGCAGCACCCAGGGAATCATCAGTGTCCCCAAATGGTTTACTTTCTGTGATTCCCTTAGGCTATAGATTCCCCTGCATGGGGGGTAGGAATCACAAGGTTCATATGCCACTGGCTTTACTTTGGCACCACTTGATTGAGTGCCCACCCATGCCAGTTCCCAAAACCCATCTGGAAATACAGCAAGCTTCTTCAGACCTGATCCCAGTGTATGCAGGTAGTATGCACCAATCGGAATAGAGGGACTTTAGTTTTTTTTCTTTATCCTCTCTCTCCAACTTGCCTGTTTCGTTTACCCTTCACTAGTTTTATTACAAGGAGTATCCGGGCTCACATTTCAGCGACATTAAAATCAGGAGAACCATGAAAAGAAACCTACCGCCACACAATTTTCAGACAATGCATGGTCGGATGCACAGCTGTTGTGCCAACAATTGGCTTAATTATACGTATAGAACATTACATTAGAACCTTTTCGTCTTGATGAAGATTTCCAATGTGCAGTAGAGGGACTCTCATTTGCTGCTAGCAATTCTCATCTGACTTTTTCAAGTCTCCTCGCTCCCTCGTGCTCGCTCGCTTATCCTGCCCTGCCTCACCGGACACTCACCATTGGCAGCTGCACTGCGGAACTTCAACTTCCCGTGGCCTTCCCTCCCTCTTCTTCCTTCCATCCGCCCATGTTCTTGGCCAGCTCACCGCATTAGTGCCCGAGGCGTTGTATATTGCGACGCTACAGCGCAAAAGGTGGCGCGCGGCGGCAAGGTGCTTGCATTGCCGCCTCCACAACCGCAAGCAAGCCCTACATCTACATGCCCACCACGTTCAGATCCTTGTTCTTTACTGGCATCCCTATGCGTTCGCATCTACAGGACCGACTACGACTGTTCCGGATCGATCGAGTGAGGAGTCTCGTGTCCTGCTCACCGCACCCAACTGCGACTCATGCATGTTGCTTGCACCGTGCCATGCCGTGCCGTGCCTCCACGAAAGGTGTCACATGGCTTGCCAATCAGATTTTACTTTTGCTCTCTTCTGAAGGCACCAGAGACAAAACTAAGATTATTGGCATTTCATCAGTCACTTGCCCTTCTACAGATATCGGAGATAAAATTTGTCACCATTTACTTCTTTTTAGATAATGGATTTTTACTTGTGTTCCATCCTGGAGCAAATCGAGTTCCTTGGCAGTCGTCCATGTTTTCGTAGTAACTTTGCTGTATAACTACTGCCTGTTTCTGGTCTGAAGATAACTAACTGAATTACGAACAAGACGGCAAAACTTGATGCTTTCCTTTTGGGTTACGCAACAAACCATGACGCCATCGCTTGTTCTAGTGATCTTTCCTTTCCACAATGGTCCACTACATATAGCAGGTCTACTGAGATTTCTGACTGAAACTTCCACTGACGCTCTGCAGTTTCAACCTCTCGATCTGTGCATTCATTCAGAGGTCTCAGGTTACTGAGAAGTAACTGAACGCACGTATTCTTCCTGTTCCGACGACGCACACACCAGTTTTGGGATGGACAGCCGAGAAACATGCCATGTTCTGACTAATAATCACCCGTTTCATTGCCTCCACTCCACCATCCCACGATGTCCAATCCGAATTTACGTGGCGCTCTGCTCTCCCGCTCCCGCTGCGGCCTGCGGCGGCGAATAATCTCCACTGACTGGAGTAATAAAAGGCGGGAAAGGGGAAAAAAAAAGAGAGACGGCAGGAGACAAGCAGTGTGCTGTGACTCACATGCGCCACGCACAGCGGCACAGCACAGGCGAGGCGAGCACCCACCGGACCGGAATAACAATCGCCGATCGAACCAAATCCCGAGCCGATCCATCCATTTCTCATTGATCCATGTATGATCCGTCGAACAATGGCAAAAATCCCGAGAATCCTGACCCCATCCACCACGATCCAATCCACCTAACCAACTACACACCATGAGCTCAGCTCACTAGGGACGACCAACACCTATGTACCAAGAACAGCAGCAGCACGAAGGGAGAAGAAGACGAATTGACACCACCAGCACCAGGACAAAAAAAAAAAAGAAACGGTTCCATCGATCAGACGGTGAGCTGCGGCTGACTGTGACGGTGTCAGCCGGCTGCCGCTGCCCCGACCGCGCCGGCGGGATCGTCGTGGTGGTGATCGGACGTGCCGGCGGCGGCGTAGCAGTGGTGCAGCCGGGGCGCCTCGACGGGCGTGTCCAGGTAGGCCATCTCGCTCTGGAGCACGGCGCAGTAGGAGGCGAAGGCGGCGGGCGTGACGTTGAGGTCGAAGGCGATGCCGAAGAGGAAGTCCACCTCCAGGTAGTTCATCTCCACCAGGCTGATCCCGCCCACCCGCGCGAAGTAGGCGTTGTTGTAGCATCTGCAGCAACGATGATGGCACCACCACCAGCAGGGGAAAAAAATCAGATGAAGCTAGTACAAACAAAACAACAGAGCACACACAGACAGACAATAGCGTATCGAAGCGACAAACTATGGACCCGTTTTGGAACCCACGAGAGGAATCGTAGGAGTATATGTTTTTTTTTACCAATAAAATGGATAAAATTCACGCATTTCAGCTGTAGAACCTGTATGTAGCTTGTTTTCGAAGGCGATGTTAGTACTCCAGTATAAGACAGACAGACAGGTTGGGTAGGACAATGCAAGGTGAATGTGCTTTGGTAAGAGTGGTGGATCGGCAGCCGCTGCTGCGCTGCGAGTGTGCTGTGGGCGCATCAGCCTCGGGTTCGACAACTGTCCTTGTGACCAATCCAGTGGCTTGTCTTTGATGCAATGCCAGTTGTGACAGAGAAGAAAAGGTTACCCAATTCCAATTACAGCCCTGGCTGGTTGCACACAGTGACAATCACGCCAACGCCGGAAAGGGGATCATCGCCAGAGACAGATTCAAATAAAGGCCAGACGACGAATTCGCTTGAACTTATCACCAGCTTATCAGCTAGAATCTATAATATTTCTCTCTCACAATAAAACAGCTTCAGCCGGCTTATCAGCCGGCTTTAATACCAGTCGAACAAGCCATATAGTTACCGAATCACCCCAATCATGCAATTTTCGAAGCTCACTGCTCACCTATCTGACGACCATGACCCTGAATTTCTAGTTGGACATAATGTACTACATGTCGTTTTCAGAACAAATTGTTTCCGAATTCTGAAGTCAACAGTTGTGCGGAATTCAACTTGATCGACAGTTGTGCTGAAGCACTATGTTTTTATTTTTGTTTCCGTATTTTGAAGTCAACTGTTGAGCAGAATTCAACTTGATCCGTACCTTTTCTGTAAATTTTGCATTTAATCAGCTATACTATCTGGCCAATTCTGTATCGCTACTAGTGAATTCTGGTCCTTCCTGACGATCGTTAGAAGTTTACCAACGCCAAAACACAGGTGAATGAAAGGGAGCTAGTAGGCAGCGAGAGCACGTACATGTCGTCGACGAACTTGACGGCGGTGAGGACGGAGGTGATGAGGAGGCGGTGGACGTTGAAGGAGTCGACGGCGAGCGCGGGGCGGCGGCACAAGAAGCGGTCGAGGTAGATGTAGGCGACGACGTAGCAGGACGGGCTGCAGCTGGCGAAGCGGAAGATGCGCTCCAGGTAGCCGCCGATGGAGATGGCCGGCTTCGTGAGCCCCTGGAACGCCGACACCGGGCGACCAGCAGCCGGCGCCGGCGCCGCCACCGCGCCCTCCTCCGCCGAGGCGTCGTTGCGCTCCGCCACCCGCTGCAGCAGCGCCGACAGGATGGAGACCACCCGCGGCACGGGCGCCGCCTCTGTCCCCTGATCCCCCGTCGTCATGGATGGATCGATCGGAATTCAGATGGTGAGTTCTTGGCTGCTGCTGCTTCTTCGTGATACTAGTAGATTGCTAGTGGCCGCTTGCTTGCCTTGGGACTTCTTGCGACTTTGGAGTTGGAGGGAGGAGAGGTGATGGTGGTGGTTATAAAGGGTGGGAGGGAAAACGCTAGGAAAGGCCGCCGTCGTAAAAAAGAAGAAGATGAAGAAAAGATTTGAGCTTTGCAAGTTGGCATGATTAGCCAGCCAACCAAGCCATCTCCCTCCCTCTCCCTGTCATGGTCTCATGGATGATAGAAGGTCACTTTCTTTTTTCACTTCTGCCCTACGCACTGTACTGCACCACACACACACACACCGGAACTGTGGAAAACCCGGTAGAGGCCTATAAATTTTTAGGCAAAGTTCTAGAGTGTATGTGGACTGAAACTTAAGATCAATCAATATGTGTTGTTCAGTCTCCTCTAAAATATTTCCTGGATCACTGTTGGTATCCATGGAGTTGGATCGCGTGTCAGGTTGCCTGGATGGACGATGGAGTGATGGACAGGTCTCGTGGCCTCCACGACCCGGCGCACCCGAGGCTCGCTCTGAATTTAAACAAATCAAATCATCACGGGGCCGGGGCCGTGCCGCCCGTGCGTGCGCGCAGCCGCACGGCTGCATGTCGCTGTTACAGAGAGATGAGAACGGAGAAGATGGCAGTTTCAGAGTTGGGTAGCCAGCCTGATGACGATGTCTGTTTCCATGTCATTTCCACAGCTGTTAGTGTGTTACTGTTAGGTAAGTAGGCAGTGAGTGATCTCGATGCTGCGCGCTCCGGTTCACAGAGAATTAGGTGTTCCGCAGTAGTAGTAGTTTCGGCGGCCAGGTACCGTCGGTGTCTGTGCACTTTCTCCTGTTTTTTTTTTCATTCACACGCCCATCTCGTGCGTCCTAGCGCGGGCACGGCTGCCGAACATTTTCCGTGCGCGGCTCACCGCCGGGTTCAGTGTTCCACTCCTAGTAGTGCTTCAGACGGTACAACGTTTTCCTAACGGATTTCGTGTTGGACAGACAGCAGGTCCCGGTCAGTGGTCAGTTAGTCAACGCGAGAGTGTGTCGGTGTCAGCCGCAGCGTGCGGTAAAATCAGAGAAGGGCGCTCCTCTGCAGCAGTGACAGATAAATAATAAAAAATAATGATGCACGGACAAGTGTAATAAGAACACATTTGACATGGCAGTGTGGATCGAGAGTACAGTGATATTATTATATGATTATTCATCAGGAGGAAAAATTTAAAGAAAAGCCAGGGAAGGAAGGAAAGGAAAGGAAGCAAGCGAATATGACATGCCTGGGTCGGTCAGTCACGCTCACGCCGGCCGGGACGACACGACAGGCCTGCTGCCCTGGCGGTCACGCCAATGCCATGCTATGCCATGCTGCGCAACAGCAGGGCGCGTGCATGCAAGAGTAACATGCACGCTGTTCAGCACGTCGCCGGGCGAGAGCGTCCACCATCCACGCATGTGGCAGCAACGGAGAGCGGAAGTGTTGGTCCGATCGATCCCTTCACATTCACAAAGAGAAGCGGCAAACATTGCTGTACGCAGAGGACTCTCTCTCTCTCTCTCTCTCTCTCTCTCTCTCTCACTCTAAGCCGTACGTCTGAGGAGGAGGAATATGCCCACAGGAGATGAAGAGAGAGAGAGAGAGAGAGAGAGAGAGAGAGAGAGAGAGAGAGAGACCTTGGCTTGGCACGTTGCTGCTGCTATGCAAGAAGCGTTGTTGGGTTCATGTGTCATCAGCTCCTCTTCGCTGCAATTGTCTGCTTGCCCCGGGCCGGGGCCTTTACGGATTTAATAGCCGATTTTATCGGATCCGTGGTCCACCATCCCGCTGCCTGCCTGATCCATGCATCATGTGGCCAGGAGACTAGTTTAATTATCCCGCCACTAATCAAAAGGAGGGCCTCTCTGGTAGTTCCCTCACATAAACTCCTCCTCCGTACTCACCATCTTGCAATTGCGCGCGCAAAAGCCGGCCTGATCATGCAGATGCATGCTAGCTTCCTGTACTGTACTGCATCATACATATCCTCTTGCCTGTGCGCAGGGCCTCAGCTGCTAATCATCGATCACATGCAACAAAGGCATCAGTTGTTGTTTAATTAATTAATTGTGTCGTTTTGTTTTTCTAATTAAAGATGGAGAAAGAGCTAGCGAGAGAGGAACGTACTGGAGTAGCGTGTGCATCGCATGACACGAGATCCCATCTATGTGCATGCTCCTTCCAGGCAAATATAGCAGCAGCAGCAGCAGCAGCTAGCTAGCGATTGTTCAGTTTTCAGCAGCACATCATCCTAGCTATCATGAGCAGGGGCAGGGGGGCCGAGGGACAGGCGGACAGCATCTAGTGTGCCGCGTGGGAAAGCCACGCTTAGTTCTGCTCTGCTCGGTTGCTTGGTTGGTCGCTTGCCTGTTTTAGCTGACCGACGGCGATCAGCTGGCCAAACTTTACCGCGAGAATGCTAATGCCAGTGTGCATACATGTGGGCGGTGCGATTGCGAATATATGCGGTGGCAACTGGCAATCGGCACGCACAAGTCTTATCTGTCACCACAATGGCGTCCTGGACCCGGAGTGAACCAGCCCAGCAGCACCAGCAGGCAGCAGGCCAATTCCTTCGCGCCAGTTACCACTGTCCAGCAAGCAATCTACTACGATTGGCGGTGAGAGAGTCCCGGCAGCTGGGTTGGCGTTGGCGATTCGGGCCTTTGGAAGCAATAGCGAACCAAAAAACCTAGCCCGGCCCAACTATTCTATTCTACTAGACCCAATGGGTAGACTGGGATAAGCAAACTTCGCTTTCGAGACCGAAAGGGAAAAAGTGCATTTTACCTCCTCAACTATCATGAAAGTCTTTCTAAAAAGAAAAAAACCTATCGGAAAAATTAGCTTTTCCTCCCTCAACTCTAAAACCATAAATAGTTCCTCCATCATCTCTCAAAATCGGTCACTTGACCTCCATAGCTGTTACCCTAAATGGGGTTTCTTTTTTTTTCTTTTATGTTTATATTGGCTGAATCTTTAAAAAATCATAGTAAATCACAGAAAAATCATAAAAAGAAAAATCTAATTATGCTGGACTCCACATGAGTAGATCTACACAGTGAACATATGATATATTATGATTTAGCACAAAATTTTTGCTGTAACTTTAGATGTTTTTCTGTAATTAATTCATAGCTGTGGTTTCTCTGGTCCAATTGTGGTGAAACTTTTATGGTGGACTAAACATTGCATGTTTGAGCTGTAGTAAAAATTTCATGCTCATTGGATCACGTATGATTGAGTTATAGAGTTATCTAGGTTTATGTTTGTTAAATAGTTTTTAAATGAATTAAATCTATAATTCTGTCATACATGATTTAATGAGTATGAAATTTTTGTTTGACTCCACGTGAGCAGATCTACACAGTAAACATATGATATGGTATGTTTTAGTACAAAATTTTTGTTATAGCTTTAGATCTAAGCTTTTCTGTAATTAATTCATAGCCACAGTTTCTGTTGTCCAATTATGATGAAATTTTTATAGTGGGCTAATCATTTAATGATTGAGATGTTGCAAAAATTTCATGCTCATTGAATCATGTATGACTGAGTTCTAAACCAACTTCCTTAATAATGCTAACTTTTAGCATACGGCTCGTGACATGAGACGCTAATGCAAGGTCTGCATGCCGTATTTGCTGTTGATTGATCTTTATTTTACACATACACTGCACGGCAATGGCTGACCGAACAACTTGTTGATCACTGAGCAGCTGGAGTTGTTTCCTGTCATCCGTCTCCCACCGCAGCGGTGAAGCATCAGATGGTGCAAGTCCGCAACCTGCTCATCGACACCAGGAGTAAGAAAGGTCGGCACATTGGTCATGTTCGCTTGCATTATGAGCCGTACTATTTTAGTGAATAAACAGTATTTTTTTTTCTCATAACAAATCAGCGAACGGTACTTTCAACTATTAGTTTTCAGCAAAACGAACAGGGCCATTGTTTCCATTGCTTTCGAAAAAGTCTACTGGCCATGGACTCATCCCTGATGTTACATATACGCTCTTGTATGTATGCGTGTATCAGCCTGTTCGTTGGTTGGCTTCTGGGCTGATAAGCCCGGCTGATGCTGGTTTGTTGTGAGAGAAAAAAAATACTGTACTATAGCCGATAAACCCTGACTGAAACCAATAAGTGAACGGACTGTATGTTGATGCATGGATCAGCGGGCAGCAGCAACTGTCGCGACGCTGCTGCCATGGCTTATGCTGCGGAGCAGACGGAAGAAGCGGCACCGCCGGGCCTATGCTCAGGGGTTGCGGCACTGTCCAGGACAGCGAAGTGGCAGAACTTTTGATCAAGGGACCCAACAATACGATAACACTTCGTAAACATGAAGTGTATGTCTTAATAGCTTTTCAACACACACACACATATATATATATATAACTCATAACTAAAAAAACACAATATTTATCATAATGAAGAGTGGAATAATAATTTTTTTGCTATGCTATTGAAATTTTTTATAGGTATTAAAAAAATTCACTGTGCTTTGGTGGGTGGGGGTGGTGTGTGTGTGGGGAGGGGGCACGGCAGTGGAGCAGCACCGAAGACTCCAAAGGCAGCAGCGTGACTATCACCAACACGTGCATAGGCTGCACCGTGCGCGACATCCACGTCTCCTGAGGCGAGTTCGCCCCCACGGAGCTCGTCGACACTAGCGACTTCCGACGCTTGTCGTACGACGATTGAGTACTCCAAACTCTTTTACAAAATGGACGTCGCGACGGTCTCATGCGGCGACATATAGCTAGGTGTTGTACCGGCGTCGTGTCTTGCAGGCATCGTATTATTTCCCCGTCCGGTGTTCTGGTAAATAAAAGTATGGAGTAGTCGTAGCGTAGTCTATCTCAGCTCACTAGTTCGGTATGGCATGGCTTTGGCTTTGTTGGGAAGTCAA